GAAAAAAGCACGAAAACACCCAAAAATCCTCACCTTATGAGATGGCTCTTTCAGTCTCACTCAAACAACATCTGAAAAACCAAAACAAAACACCATACGAGATTAAAATCACAAACAAACAATCATTAATCAAAAGTACCGAACAAACGCCGAGGAAATCAAAAATGAAAAAAAAAATACAAAAAAATAAAATAAAATAAAATAAAAAATAAAATGGACCTTATGTTCATCGGAGAGAGTGAGACGACCCAGGGCTTTGAGTTCTATACTCGATCGGCCGGATCTCTTCAACTTTAATAGACACACAATTTCTTATTTTTTATTTTTTTTTTATTTTTTGATGAAAATAAGGTTTTGATTCTATCTGCAAATCTGAGACAGAAATAAAAGGATTGATGAAAAAATGAAATTGAGAGAGAATGTAAATAGAGATCGTATATATGAGAGAGAGTTTGTGTTTGTGTGTGTGTGTGTGTGTGTGTGGCTACGTCATTTTTGCCATGTATATGTGGTGCGTGCGTCTGTGTGTGTTTTGATTGTTTGTACTTTTGCGCAGTGCTTGTTGTAGTTGTACGTTTAGTGGTATTGACGTGGATGAATATCGGACGTCCGATTTTGCAGGGAGGAATTCGTTTTGTCCGTTGGATCTGTGGAGAGGGACTTGATAGCAATTTTGTATCTCAAGGAATGTTTAATGTGCTCTGAAAGAGTTGCCGCATTGTCCCTCTGCAACCATCAGAAAGAAACTAGCTCTTGACGGAATTGCCCCTTTCAATTGAGTTTTGCCTTAGACGTAATTAATAAACATACATATTATAGAAAATATTATATTGCCTTTTATTAAATTAAATATATAATAATAGAATTGTTAAAAATTATGATTATTTATTGAAAACATATTATTTTTTCTAACAGGTACGATTAACCGATCACATCAACCTTACCATGACATACAAATTAATTATATCATTTGACCTAGTTCTCATTCGGATCGGCACTTCGCAATTGTTCGGGATACCGGTTCGTTTTTTAAGGGGTCGACTTCTCCCGGTTCGATTCTGGCTAAATCTGATATCAACAATTATAATAGGTATCTTGGTAAATAAGTTAGGAATTAAATATTATTATAAGAGATCTTGTTTTGTTGGACATGTTAAGAATATGGTTTAGCAGTCTTAGTTAAAAGACTTTTCATCTATTGTTTTATTCAGTTGATTATTGAAATGAAATAAGATTTGATATCGTGTTTAGATGTTCTTGAGACTGAGATCTCATTAATATTGTTACATCCGTACGCTTCTCTAAGTCAGTTTATAATCCAGATCTAAATAGCCAACCAGATCTTGATACATAGGAGATTATGAGGACTAAAAGCTGGTACCTCGGTATATTGTCCATGTAGAGGGATAAGTGTATTCTCTATGGTTCTTAAACCAGATTGGTCGGGTGGTTTAACCGGTTGGACCAAGAATCGACATTCATTCCGGTTCGGTTGCTGCATCAAATTGTCAGGGATGAGAACCAGTCAAGAACAGTTCGAGCCGGTCAAAATCAGACGAGCCGGTGAACCGAGACTGATTCAAGTGGTTCAGGAGGTCCAGCTTTTGAAATTTTTAAAAAGTTGATTGTGAAGTTATTTAAATAGCACTCATTTTTACTTGTTTCTAATGTGAGATATCATCTCTTGTTGAAATTATTGAGCCAATGTTGGGCAACAAGCAAAATTGCACACACTAAAAAAAATGTACTATTTTTTGAATGGGCTATCTATTGAGATATATCTATTCCAAATTTATTGAAGATGAAAGAAGCAATTTATTGTTATTTTTTATACATATAATTTTTTTATTTTTTTATTAATAATAAAATACTTAAATTGTGATTTAAAAAATGAAAATAGTGTTGTTTATATTTTTTCTATTATGTAACTTAAATATAGATTAAAACTTTAAATATAAAATAAAATAAAAAATTATCAACATTATCGGTTGTAAATATTATTGAACTATTATTTAGAGAAATGTCATACACTATAAAATTAATGATAAATATATATATATATATAAACATATATTATACATATAAAATAAATAAATAAATATATATTAATTAAATCGATTTGATCACTGATCTCACCAATCCTCCCTATATATAATTGCAGAATGCGCTGAGCCTACGTGGCTGCTTATGGTGCTTCGAAATCCTATTTGGCGAAAAATCATGCTTCGTAATTAGGTTTGGACAAATAATATTAATATATTAATAATTAATAATCTAGGTTCGGGTATTCCATAAATATTATTTAGCTACCTTAGGTATTTTAATATCACTTTTACTAATATAACCCTTTAATTATTTGTAATTTTACATAGTGAGACACTAAGTGACTAATATATCCCTAAATTTTGATTTGCTTCCTTCATATAATTGCAGAATGCGCTGAGCCTACGTGGCTGCTTATGGTGCTTCGGAATCCTATTTGGCGAAAAATCATGCTTCGTAATTAGGTTTGGACAAATAATATTAATATATTCATAATTAATAATCTAGGTTCGGGTATTCCATAAATATTATTTAGCTAACTTAGGTATTTTAATATCACTTTTACTAATATAACCCTTTAATTATTTGTAATTTTACATAGTGAGACACTAAGTGACTAATATATCCCTAAATTTTGATTTGCTTCCTTCAATAAGCTATTGAATTATAAATGTATTTTAAAAGTAGATAACTTTTGTATTTCTTATCGGTTTTACATATATAATATATCAAATTAATCATCTTTTGATGATCTTCGATTTGACATCCATATTGTATATATAAAATAAATAAATTATATTTATCTTTATAATAATAAAAAATAATAATATTTATTAAAATTCATTAGAAAAATAAAATTATTTCCCAATTTATATATTTATATTTAATGTAGTTATATAGTGCAAGTTAAAAAATTAGTATAATATAACACAAGTAAGTCGCACAAATAAAAATTATCATAATAAATATATAATATATCCTCCCTATATATAATTCCAGAATGCGCTGAGCCTACGTGGTTGTTTCTGGTGCTTCGGAATCCTACTTGGCGAAGAATCATGCTTCGTAATTAGGTTTGGACAAATAATATTAATATATTAATAATTAATAATCTAGGTTCGGGTATTCCATAAATATTATTTAGCTAACTTAGGTATTTTAATATCACTTTTACTAATATAACCTTTTAATTATTTGTAATTTTACATAGTGAGACACTAGGTGACTAATATATCCCTAAATTTTGATTTGCTTCCTTCAATAAGCTATTGAATTATAAATGTATTTTAAAAGTAGATAACTTTCGTATTTCTTATCGGTTTTACATATATAATATATCAAATTAATCATCTTTGGATGATCTTCGATTTGACATCCATATTGCATATATAAAATAAATAAATTATATTTATCTTTATAATAATAAAAAATAATAATATTTATTAAAATTCATTAGAAAAATAAAATTATTTATCGATAATCCCCGGACTGCCACGGGAGAGCAAGCATTATTTCTCAATTGATATATATTTATATTTAATGTAGTTATATAGTGTAAGTTAAAAAAAATTAGTATAATATAACACAAGTAAGTCGCATAAATAAAAAATATCATAATAAATATAATATATATATATATATATATATTTTTATAAAAGGTATTTAAATTTTCAAACTACTTTTTCTCATTAATTTTAAATTTTAAGAAAAAAATTAACAAGCACCCGTGTAATACACGGGTGTTGTACTAGTATATATATATATTCTTATAAAAGGTATTTAAATTTTCAAACTACTTTTTCTCATTAATTTTAAATTTTAAGAAAAAAATTAGCAAACACCCGTATAATACACGAGTATTGTACTAGTAAACCATTGAACCGATAACTTCACATGTCCTGAATTATGGTTTTTTCCAACAAATAACAATTAACCGAGTACAAGTGGGCCCATTAGGGGGATACAAAAAGGACGTATCATGTACTAAATTGAGTCAAACCCCAGCCAGGTGGATCAGTGAGTTGGGTGGGTCTGATCCAGCAACTGCGTTGCGTGCATACGAACTCCATTTCATTCAATGCGATGCAAAATTTTATCAATATAATTCTTCTGATTGATATAATTGTCGAATTCGTTGAGCTGCTAATTAGTGGCAGACTGACACGCTTCGAAATCTTATGTTGCAAAAAACTATTTTTCGTAACTAGATTTGGATATAAATTAGTTTTTTCTATAAAATAATAACTAGATTTAAATTGTATTAAATATCTATATTATTCTCATTAAATTTGTAATTGAACTCTTTCTTATTTT